TCCTCACGCGCTGCGTGGCCCCACAGGGAGCTCCACGCACGGCTCAAATGGTACAGCCCGCGTGCGTCGCCGCCACCCATGTCGGCACACCCTTCACACGCTGCGTGGCCCGATGAGGAGCTCCACCCAAGGCCCAGCCACCCATGTCTGCGCACCCCTCACACGCCTCATGGCCCCATGGGGAGCTTCAGCCAAGGCCTATAGGGTGCCGTCCGAATGCGTCCCCACCACCACTTTCGGTACACCTCTCACACGATTCGTGGCTCCATAGGGGGCCCCATCCAAGGCTCAAATGGTGCCGCCAGCACGCGTCCCCGCCACCCATTTCAGCACACCCCTCACACGTTTCGTGGCACCAAAACAAACTCCACTCAAGGCCCAAATGGTGCCGCCGCGTGCGCCCCCGCCACCAATTTCGGCACACCGCTCACACGTTCCATGGCCCCACAAAGAGCTCCACCGAAGGTCCCAGTGGCACCCTTCGCATGCGTCCCCGCCACCCATCAGCACAACCCTCACACGCTTCGCGGCCCCATAGGGAAGTCCACTGAAGGTCCCAGTAGCACAGTTCGCATGCATTCTAGGCATCCGTGTCAGCACACCCTTCACACGCCGCGTGGCCCCAATAAAAAGCTCCACCGAAGACGATGCTCACAATTTGGTTACCACAGCTGTATATGGTTGGGTCCTTCGCCAGGCTAATGTTGTTGCCCCCCCTACCCCGCAGAACCACCAGCGGACTGGGAGTCAAGCCTTTCGAAGACTTGAAACCTCTGGGCGCCCAGGTGCCAAACCCCAGGCTGAGAGAGGAGGAGGGGTAGGAGGAGGAGGAGGAGGAGGAATAATAATAAGAAGAAGAAGACGAGGAGGAGGAGGAGGAGGAGGAGGAGGAGGAGAGAGAGGAGATAAGGAGAGAGGTCAGGAAAAATGTGGCGGAGCGCGAAGCCGGCAGAGGGGCAGAAGAGCGACAGAGGGGATTCGGCCCTGAAGCCGTGTGTTTACCCCCCCAAAACCCCACCCCCGCAGGTGGGGATAGGTTCATCGAAGCCCAGAGGGACAGCATAGATCCCCTCCCAGGGGTCTTGGATCGTCGGGAAGCGGAAGAGGCGAGAACGCGGAAGTGCTTTTTCCCTTTGGGGCCCTCTTCTTGGGAGTGCCCCTGGAGGCCTCTTGGGGCGTCTTGCAGGGCGGGCAAGGCAGCCAGTGGGGCCAAGGCCATGCCAGTGGGCATGGAGATCGTTTAAACGATGCTCATACGAAGGCCGCTGCTTTCGCGTCGTACGCATGGATCGGCAAAACGCACACCAAATGCTATTCTTGCCCAGGGTCACACTAGCGGGTAGACGACGTGCGGAGGACGATGGGGAGGAGGACCAGAGTAAACCCAAGGTGTTTCAACGATGATGCGACACACCCTTCCGTCCCAATCCCCCTCCTCACAAGTCCCGGCAAGCCTCTCGTTCCTCGTCAAGTAGCGCCCCCTTTGAAAAATTATCCCGGCAAAGCAACCTAACAGCGATGTGTAGAAGCATATCTGAAAGCATTCCCCTTAAGATTCAGATGAAAATCCAGTTGTCGAATTCTGCTGTTCTCGCAGTCGTAGTCGCATTCGCGATGACAGTCGCAGCGGCAACGGCAGTCGCAGTCACAGCCTCAGCCTCAGCCTGCCTCAGCCTCAGCCTCAGCCTGCCTCAGCCTCAGCCTGCCTCAGCCTCAGCCTCAGCCTGCTTCAGCCTCAGCCTCAGTCTGCCTTCAGCCTCGGCCTCAGCCTCAGCCTGCCTCAGCCTCAGCCTGCATCAGCCTCAGCCTCAGCCTCAGCCTGCCTCAGCATCAGCCTGCCTCAGCCTCAGCCTCAGCCTGCCTCAGCCTCAGCCTCAGTCTGCTTCAGCCTCAGCCTCAGTCTGCCTTCAGCCTCGGCCTCAGCCTCAGCCTGCCTCAGCCTCAGCCTGCCTCGGCCGCAGCATCAGCCTGCCTCAGCATTCAAAATGTGGCCCAGGAATGGAGTTCTGGGAACTTGAAGAACACGAAGTGGCCTACAGTTGGCTCCGGGCATTCAAAATCATGCCCAGGAATGGAGTTCTGGGAACTCGAAGAGCACGAAGTGGCCTACAGTTGGCTCCGGGCATCCAAAATGTGGCCCGGGAATGGAGTTCTGGGAACTCGAAGAGCACGAAGTGGCCTACAGTTGGCTCCGGGCATCCAAAATGTGGCCCGGGAATGGAGTTCTGGGAGGTCGAAGAGCACGAAGTGGCCTACAGTTGGCTCCGGGCATCCAAAATGTGGCCCGGGAATGGAGTTCTGGGAGCACGAGCGATTTTGCGAGGATGTCCCAAGCGATTTTGGCTTCGGCGGCAGCCTCCCCGGGTCCCGCCCAGACCCCCCTGAGGAGTCATGACGTTCTCTTTTGAGACCACTAGAAGCCTATCAGCAAGAGCTGTTAGGTAACTAGCAACTTGCGAGCCTGCCATTCAGGCGAGAGACCTGTTTTGAAGAGGAGCTACATGCCGTGCATCTTTCTGTTGAAAGGCGCCCCGGAGGCTTAAGCCGAAGAGGAAATACGCCATTACCTTAAGACGTCATGACGTTCTCTTTTGAGACCACTAGAAGCCTATCAGCAAGAGCTGTTAGGTAACTAGCAACTTGCGAGCCTGCCATTCAGGCGAGAGACCTGTTTTGAAGAGGAGCTACATGCCGTGCATCTTTCTGTTGAAAGGCGCCCCGGAGGCTTAAGCCGAAGAGGAAATACGCCATTACCTTAAACGTTTGGCTATCCGCGCAGATTTCTTGGATCTGCGAGTGCGCGGAGCGCGCCAGGGGCGGCGCCGGAGGCGCCGCCAGGGAGGGGGTCCAGCAGATCCAAGAAATCCGCGCGGAGCGCCAACAGTGTGTGTTTATGTCATTTGTTCTTTTTATTTTTAGGGATAAACATTTGTTTCATGCGTGGGGGGTCCTTCTGGGTTCTGGGATTTGAGGGCGGCTCCTCGCCGCCAACGGACGGGCCCGCCTCGACATCCTGGCCGGGGCCAGCTGGCCAGCTCCCCGAGGGGTCCGCCGACTTCTTGGGGGGCCGACACGAAGAAAATTGGCCCTGAAGGGAAAGGGCGTCGTCCTCCTCGTCGTCGTCCTCGTCGTCATTGTCGTCCTCGTCGTCCTCGTCGTCGTGGACCTCGTGGTCTTCGTCGTCGACGGTTTCGTCGTCTTGGCAGTCGTCGTCGTCGTCGTGTAGGCCGTCGTCATCGTCGTGGACGGTTTTGCCCTGGAGGTCTTCCGCCGCATGCAGGCAAGGCCGGAAGGCCTTGCCTGCATTCCTGCTGTCGCGGTGACAGGGCAGAGGCTTCGTGGGAGCCCGCAGTGATGCACGTACAGGCGGCCCATACCGGTAGATCGACCCTGCCAGATCAAGGGTACCCTCAGGTACCCTTGTGTCCTGTGCCTCGCGACCCATGCCTCCTACATCCCCCATGGCAATGTGGCCCTCGGAAGGGTCTTGTGTCCTCTCGCGTGTCCTGTCCAATCAAGGCCGACTGTTGTAGTGCGGCCTTTCGATACTGATCTTGCCATTTGCTTCGCCCTGCTCGCGCGCCGTCGGGCGCGAGGTTTGCGCTCGCTCGTCCGGGGCCCTCCCCAGGCCCCGAGACCGACAGAACCTTGCTTGGGTTAAGTCGGGCCTGTCCCTCTACAGGGGGAACATAAAAAATAGCTAAAAAATAGTCTGGGTACGATGTTTTGACTATTTTTGGCAATTTTGGAGCACTTTTGGGTTTTTTCTTCCGTCCGAAATCCCCCTGTAGGGACAGACCCGACCTAATGCTTGGGATGAGAGGCTGCTCCTTGGGGGAGGGCCCCCCCGCAAGGGTGTCCTCGACTCGGATCGGCTGGCTGCGTCGACATCGGCCGCACTCGGTCGGTTCGGTCGGGTCGGTTGCTCAAGCAGTGGCGAAGCGCTCTGGCTCGCCGATAGCCCTACCAAACAATGTTCTGAGAACCTTTTGTGGCTTCCACGAGATGTTCCTAGAACATTCCTGGCTGGGACTGCTTTGCTTGAACACATCGGGATTATATTCTATGAACACAGTTTTTGTTATAAGAACATGTTTGGGTTCTAAGAACATTTCGTGGTAGGACTATCGAAATACCGGGACGGTCGGTCCCTGCTCAAGTTGCTGCTCCGCTGCAGCTTTCCAGGCTTCTTTCGGGCCGTCGGTGTTCGGCCCGTTTCGGTTTCGGTTCCAGTGCGGCTGATGTTTTCTGTTGCTGTCGCCGTGGAGGTCGGTTGTCCAGAGGAAGGCTCCCCGATCCAATACGCACAGCTGAGACGCTGAAATGAGAAGCAGCTCGGGTTCGGGATGGGCTCGCTGTTCTTCAGGTCCTTCCATGGCTGTTCCTTCAGCGACCCTCGTGCACCCAGGCGCTACTTGGGTCAAGCAGGGACTTCGTTCCTCATGTGGGGCGGTCCAAAAGGGCCTTGCCTTCGAGAACCCAAGGAGTTGTCGTCTCTTCCTCGGCGGAAGGCGGCGGGAGGGCGGCGGAAGGTCGGCGGAAGTAAAACGAGGCCGCCTCCGCCAGCGGAAGCCGGCGGAAGCTCGGCGGAGGGCGGCGGAAGTAAAAGATGTGCCCCCAAGAGATGAGCACGTTTTCGGGTTCAGGGTGTCCAGAATCGCCCATGTAGCGCTCATTATGGTAGCAGCTTAACTGCAAGCCGTTTCCTCCAGGAACCGTTTCCCTCACAGGCGAGTGCAGGGGGGCGAGGCGGAGCAGGGGACCGGCGGCGCGCGGAAGGTGGCTAGGCGGCGACACAGGCTTGCGGAGGTCCGTGCGGAGGTCTCACATCGGCGCTGGACCCACGTCCCTGGCGCGCGGTAGCCGCCGCATGGGGGTCCAGAGCCGTTACAAGAAATATGCGCGGGCCTCCGACGGGCCGCTTGGGCCTCCTCCCTCCCTCCTTCCTCGTCGTCCCTCCCCCTCCCTCCCTGCCGACCCTTGTGGTAGCATTGTAGCAGGAGCAGTTGATGGAGTCCGAGGAGCGCGAGGGCCTCCTGACAAAGCGCCTCACGGAGGCCCTGCGGAAGGAGCAGGAGCTCAGCAAGGCGCGGCACTCCAGGAGGGGGAGTGAGGAGGACGACAGGGGCGGGGGGGAGGGGGGGGAGGGGGAGGTGGAGGGGGAGGTGGAGGTGGAGGGGGAGGAAGGGGAAAGGTGGAGGGTGAGGATCGAAGAAGAAGACGAAGAAGAAGAAGAAGAACTCACATAACCATAGATTTCAGGAGGCCGCGCGGATTTCTTGGATCGGCGTTGGACCCCATCGGCGGCGCCTCCAGCGCCCGCTTCTGACGCGCTCCGCGCGCCAGGGATGTGGGTCCAGCGCAGATCCAGGAAATCCGCGCGGACCTCCAGAAGTTAATGCTTTCGCCGTGTCTGCTGTTACTCTAGAGAAGGCGGCGGTAAGGAGGAGGAGGAGGAGGAGGAGGAGGAGGAGGAGGAGGAGGCGGCGTAGGGCGGCTTACCCTTTTCCTCGCCTCTGCCAGAAGTGCGCTCAAGAGTTCGAGGGGGAAGTCCTCAACGGCACCGCCGTTCCCTCCTCTGACGACTTGTGCTTGACATGGTTCCCTCGGCGGCGCGCCGAGGGGGGCAGGGAGAGGGGAGGGAGAGGGGGCAGACCTCAAAAGGCGGCTGGGCTTCTCAGAAGCCGTCCGGCCTTCTGGAAGGCCCTCCATGGTGCCGGAGAAGGCTCAGGGAGCGTTTCAGAAGGCTGGAGGCTTCCTGAGCCTTTTGAAAAGGCCCGCCCCCTCTGCCTTCCCCAATGGACGCGCCGCCGATGCTTGCTGGACTTCGGAATTGCCTGGAAATCCTGGGACGTTTTCGAAGAGCCTCGTATGGTCTCGGAGGAGGTTCCTGAAGAGGGGGGTTTGGGCTGGAGGCCGAGGCGGATTAGGAGGAGGGAGGAGGAGGTGCGCGACTCCAGAAGGAGGAGGAGAAGAGGGAGGTCCACAGCAACTATCTCTCCTCGATGGCACTCGTGGCTGCGAGCCGGCTGGCCCGCTCCGCGGCCAGCCGCTGCGCTTCGCGGCCAAGCTCCTCAGCCTGGCCGCGCGTGCGAAATCCGAATGCCAGTAAGGCATCGCTCAGTGCCACTCTTGGGCATGACGCGCCCCACCGAACAGGAAGGCCTAGCGGAGGCTCGGCGGTGCGGGCCACGGGGCCCCCTGCGGCGCCTTCCAATCCGAAATGGCTGGCCCAGGACGCCCATGCCGCCTCCTACAGGCTGCATGCCTCGTCGATGGCCGCATCCCAGGCCCAGTGGGGGTGCATCCCACGGCCGACGCGGCTGCGTGCATTCTTTGCTCTCGGAGGTGGCTCACCATCCCTGGGCGGACAGGGCGCTAAGAGCCCATGGCCCCGACCAGGGCACGTGGCGTGACTCCAACAAGTCGTGCAAACCAGCATTGATGAGGACGCGCCCCGGGGTCCACCCTCTAGGCATCGCCACTCGCGAATCTGGGCAGCAAGAAGGCTGTGCCCGCGCACGCGCCAGGGACTAACCTGAGCCGGAGCGTCAGCGCGCGCCTCGGGATCCGAGCCCGGAAGAGCGGCCACGCCTGCGCTCGCCGCCGGGGCCGACCCAGCGCCTGCAGCATCAGCGCGCGATTCTCCTCGAGTTACCCCAACCTCGCCCTCCGACCCCGACTACCCCTCCACCTTGAGCTAAATAGTGCGGAGGGCCTCGAGGCCTTGATGGTCGCGAGTGCCAGCTTCTGTCAGCACGGCCTCCATGCGCCCCGTGTATCGGGTGAGGAGCCGCGCAAGATAGAGGCAACCAAAAAGGAAAGCGCGGTCATCTTCGGCCAGCCGGCCTTCGGCCGCCCCAGCCTTTGCTAAGGCGTCGGCCGCGTGATTCCCGTCACGCTGCCAAACCGCGATTCGCCCCCCTCCACCATGTCGTTCCTCGTCGAGTGCGCGAGGACCTTGGAAAAGGTCACGTCCTCGAGCGCATCGTCAGCAGCCGCCTGGCGCCACAGGTGGGCGCGGGGCTGGCCTGGCCCGCCGGCGCTCGCCAGGCTTTGCCCGCACGCAACAGTGGCACTAACTTACAGTCTGAATGCAGCGTGTAGCGGCCGGCGGCGCGCCTTGACGCCATCAGGACAGCATAGTCCTCCCCGTCCCTGGCGGACTGGGACGGGCAAAGATTTTGGGGCACCACCCCGCGCAGAGAGCCTAAAAAACAAAAAGGCGTCGTATGCAACCACGGCCCAACCAGCCACCCTCAATGTGGGGAATTTGGCGTCGAAGCAAGCTCCATCAGTGAAAATGTGCCCGCCGTCGAGCATGAGTCTGGTCAGCGGCCAGGGGTCCGCCCGGAGCTCGGCGCCAGGCGGCAGCGGCGGCAGCCGAAAACACTGGGCAGGATCAGGCAAGAGCACTCGTGCAAAACGTTACCCGGTTCCCCAGCCTCCTCCCCGCCCTCCAGCACTCGAGCGGCGGCATCGCGCACTGCTGGGTCAAGATTGTCCGCCCTCCAGGCGTGGTGCGCTGGGCACTGGAAAAATCTATGGTGCAGGGTGCCGGGAGAGCCGCGGCAGCACTGGCGGAGGTCGGACAGCCCCAGCCCCTCCGCCTCCTGGCAGAGGCGGACCTGGCACCATTGCGTACCGCAAAGCAGGCCTCGCTGAGCCCGCTTATGGTTGAGGCTCCAGCCTCGCTCAGCGGGGGCGTACAGCAGCTCGTTGAGGGGGCGCCAGAAGACGGGCGCAACCCAGCTGCGGCGGGCGTGAATGTCGGAGGCTTGCCGGGCCGCCCCCTGCGCCTTGAGACGGAAGAAGGCCGGCGAAAACTCCTGGAGGTCCCAGCGGTGGCTTTTCTCGTCCCTCAGCGTGAACGGGTTGTCCAAGCTCCAGCCGACGCGGTGCAGGGTGAGCACCTGCGCCGTGATCGGGTTGCTGCAGCGCGCCCCAGGGAAGCGTTGCGTGGCCAGCTGCCGAGCGCCATCCAATGGCACCTACGCCGTTCCAAACCATTTCGGCGTACGTCTGGATGGCCAGCGCCGTGACTAACACGAACGGGTCGCGCCTCCAGCCGGCGCGCCAGCTGGCCATGGCTGACCCAAGGGAGGCCCCTCGAGGGAGGCGCCCCTCGGCACGGAGCGCGGCAGCCCGTAGCCCTTTGAGCTTGCCGTTCGGCACGCCCTGGATCGCGGTGCCCTACAACGCCATTGCGCTTGGACCAGCGCGGTGGACAGACGCGATCGGCACACCTGCCCGGCAAAACTGCTCAAGGCGTGCGCTGCGAGCCTGAGCTTCTGCAAACCGCTGGCTCTGCGTGCCCACGAGCCGCAGGCGCCCGGCCGTCGCGTCGCCCCCCAAGTCGCGATGGGAGTGCGATCTCTGCTCCATGCTGATGCCCCAGCGCTCGCAGAGCGCCTCCGCGAGAGCCGTGGAGCTGGCGAGGAAGCCCGTCTTGCGGTCTGCGATCGGCAAGCCCAGGGCCGCCGCGTCCTGCTTGACCGGATCGTAGCCCCTCACCAGCTGCTGCGTGACCGTACTCTCCCCACCGACCCCGTGGAGGGAGATATCGTCGATCACGTTCTTGATGGGGATGATTGGGGCGCAGGCCGCCGCGCGCTTCAGCGCCGCCAGGAACATGAGGCGGGCCAGCGACGTGGCGCATGAGCAACCAGCTATGACCCCGCCGTTCACGACCAACTCGCGGCTGACAGCTCCCTGGAGCACCACGCGCCGGCGGGCGCGGTAGCAGCAGCACAGGCACCGCAAGAGCACGGCGCCGAAGTCGGCGTGCCAGGCGGCATGCAACAGTTCCGAATGCGAGATGTGCTCGTAAAATTTGACCATGTCCAGGAAGACCGTGGCCGAAGCGAGGCCGCGCTGGGAGGCGAACGCAGCCAGCACGTCGTGCACGTGCGCGCTCTTGTCGCACGCGGTGCGCGAGCCCACCCCCCAGAAGAAACGGCAATCCAGGCGCCTCTCCCAGTCGGCGCACCAGCGGTGCCGCATCCGGCTCGAGACGCGCGCCATCAGAGGCATGAGCCCAATGGGCCGGACGCCGCCCGTAGCCTTCTCCAGGAAGATGTTCATCACCAGCCACAGCGGCCCGACGTCGGGCCGCCGCTCGAACTCGTTGAGCACGTCTGCCAATCGCTGCAGCATCTCATCGGGCGGCTGCAGCAGGAGCCTCGGGCGGAAAGAGTCCCACCCCAAGGCCGTGCCAGCAGGGAAAGTCTCCGCTGCCTGGCGGAGATCGGCCGCTGCGATCGGTAGAAGCCCCATCTCGACGTCCCAGTTCAATGGGCGCGCTTCCGCCTGCCGTGACGCTTTGGCCCAGAGCGGCAGCCAGGTGCGCGGCTCCGCCTCCAGCGCCGCCTGCCCTACCAGGGGGGCCCTGCTCAGCCCGGACGCCTCCGCCGCAGGCGGGCCATCGGCGTCGGGTCCGAGAACTACCGGCGGCGGCTGCCTGGGGCCTCTGCTGACCCGGCGAGCGGCCCTGCCGCCGCCAGCCGCGGCCTCCTGCGCGAAGGCAGACCAGGCGCGCCGCGCCTCGGCAGCTGCTGCCTTGACTCGGCGGTCGCACTCACGATCGAGGGCCCCGGCGAGCCGCGGCGCCTGCTCCAGCAGTTGCGGAATCGACATGCCCTGCAACGGCTCCTCCCCGGCGGACTGCAACGCCTGCTCTGCGAGACGGCGTGCCAGCGCCAGGCCCTGGCGCTCCACGGCCTGGGCATGCTGATGCACGAGCCGTCGGAGGCTGCCAACGCTGCCCTTCCGGGGGGACCCTTCGGGCAAGCGTCTGCGCCCAGGCCACCTCCAAGGAGACCTTCTGGACTCGGCAGCCGAGATGGCGCCCACGTTAGGCCGCCTGCCGCGCCTCCGGTACCGAGTGCAACAAGCACAGGAAAGACTCGGCCCCTCGGAACCACTCTCCCGCCGCTTGCTGCAGGGGGGGCGGAGGCTGGCCCGGCTCCCAAGACCGCTCAGGTGTCGCCCCAGACGTGGGCTTCGTCCTTCCGCGGGATCTCGAAGCCCTTGATGGGGGCCTTCTGCCGCGCCAGCGCGCGACCCGCCAGACCGCGCAGCTGCACCTCCATCATGGCGTGAGGCCCGCGCGGCCTGTCCAGCCAGGCGCGCGCCGGCTGCGCGAAGGGCGCCAGCGCCTTGCTGGCAAGGAAGAAGTCGTATCGCTTGTCATTGATGGTGGGCTGGCCGGGCGCCATGACCGCCGCCTCGAGGTCGTAGACCTAAGCAAGCTCCGCGAAGTCGCCCGCGTCGACATGCCAGTCGCCACCGAGCAGGAACGGCCTCTGCTGGGCGGCCAGCGCCTCGCCCAGCTCCCCGAGGATGGTCAGATTGGGCTCCGCGAGGCCGACGCCGTCGACCAAGTAGACCGAGCCCGCGATCAGGGAGAGGCCGTCCAGCTCGACCTGCTGCAAGGCGATTCTGCGCGCGCCCTCGTCGAACCTCCATTCGACCGCGCGCGATCCCCAGCGAGCCGAGGCCAACGAGGCATTACCCGCCGAAGTATCCAGCGGCCCGTCTCCCATCAGGGCCTCCACCGCGTGCGTGCGGAATCCCGCCTTCCAGGCCCAAGCGCGCGGCCCCTCAAAGGCCCGCTCGCGCTGCCGGTGCTCCTGGAACATCACGACGTCGGGTGCGGCGCCCTTGTCGTGCTGGAGCCATTTGAGTAGCTTCCGCTCAGAACTCCAAGTGTTCCCATTGTAGGTGACCGCCCGCAGCGGCGGGGCCACGGCAGACGCGCCAGATTTTCGAGCTGCGTCCAGCCGTGGCGACGAGGAGGTCCTTTGCGTCCAGGGGTCGGGACACGCACGCCCTACCCGCGCCCTGGCTCTTTCCCAGTGGTCCGGGAGCAGGCCCGCTCGGGCAAAGGCGCCCCCAGCAGTTCCTCCATGTGGCTGCGCTTGGCGGCGTCGAGGTTGGACGCGGCCTCGGCGAGGCCGGCGATGTCGTCGCCCATGAGGTCGTCGTCGACGTCGTCGTCGCCAGCGCCAGGAGGAGCAACAGCGTCGGCAGCGCCCGCAACAGCCGTGGCGTCGAGCTGCTCCCCGAGGAGGCCGACCAGGCCCCCTGCTGCTCCCTGGAGCTCGGGGGGAAGCTCCAGCCCTTCCAAGGCTTTGACGGCCTGCTGGGCGATGGTGAGCTTGGCGACGTCCGCGCCGGGGGCCAAGCTGCCTGGCGGCAGCCCCACCTCTTCGGCCACGCACGCCGAGTCCAGGTCTGCCTTGGCCGTCGCAAGGGCCAACCGGGTCTCCTCCTCGGCGCGCGCGGCCTCGGACAGCGCCACGCTGGCCGCCTCCAGCGCCTCTTCAGCATCCCGGCGTTTCTGGAGTCTGCGCTCGAACCTCTCGGAGGCCCGCTATTCTTTCCACATCGCTCGCTGTACCAGCTGATGGTGCGTCGCTGGTTTCTTGGGCTCAGGAGGGGGCTTCTCCTCGGACAGGGCGGCGCGCTGCTCGTCCGAGAGCGCGACGCCGCGTGCCGCCAGTCCAGCAACCAGAGCGGCCGCCGACGCAGCATGGTCCGCCGCGACCGTTTCACCGTCGTTCTTCCGCTTGGGCTCCGAGACCTTGGGCTTGGCAGCCGGCTTGGCCTTGGCGCCAGGCGCACGGGCCTCCTGCTGCGCGCGCTGGCGAACCGCCACCGGCGCTGCCCCACCGCAGACACGGCAGGCGGTGCGGTTCGGCCAGTTGTGTGCCTCCCCGCACGGGCACCCCCACAGCGGGAAGCAAGGCCCGGGTAGCAGCTCGCCGACCAGCCGCTGCCAGCCTCCGCAGCCGCCGCCGCCGCCCCGCGGGCCGCCGCCGCCGCCGCCGCCGCCCCCGGTGTGCCATGGCAGGGTGGTCCCGCGCCCCAGCACCGGGCTGCCGCCGCCCACGCGCCCCTTGGCGCTGCGAGCGGGCGCCGAGCCGCGGGCGTCGCCAGGCGGTGCCATTGCAGAAGGGGGCGGCCGTGAGATCCCAGATTGGCTCGCAAGCACGAGCCGCTCTGAAGCACGTGCTTGCAATGCTCCCTTGAGCACAGAACGGCTGGGAGGAGGAGGAGGAGGAGGAGGAGGAGGAGGAGGAGGCGGCTGAGGAGGACAAGTGCAAACCCAAGACTCACGAACGATGTTGGAATACACCCTCCCTCCAAGATCCCTCTTCACAGTCCCATGCGAGGATTCATTTCCATTGATGAAAGTGTGCCATTGGGAGACAACTGATTGAAGATCCTGAAGCGTGCCAGAAAAACCACCCCCGGGACCCCAACGCAACGACTCAACATGACCGTGTCGTTTTGACGTTTCTTCGTGCCAGAACCCCATTGCTGGGACTTCAACACGGTGAATCGACGTTTGTGCTGCGCCCTGGCAATCCCGAATCCTTCCAAAACGCTATTGCTGGTACGTTGGCCATGGGAATCCGTCAAACTGTTGCACATGTTTAAAACGGCTGTGCGCGGCGCTATGCGAGAGCCACACTTGTAAAAGGAACCGCCCTCCATCGTTGAAGCTCTTGCACATGTTTAGGACGAACGTACGTTGCGCTAGGGCGAACGCCAACTTTTGAAATCGGCGTGACCTCCATCCTTGAAGCTCGTGCACAGTTTGAAGACGAGTGTGCGCGGCGCCAAGGCAATGGCCACATTTTGGAAACGCCGCCCTCCCTCCGTGAAGCCCTTGCACATGTTTGAGACGAGTGTACGCGGCGCTACGGCGAGATCCACCTTTTGAAAACGACAAGACCTCCATCCTTGAAGCTCCCTGCATGTTTTGAAGACGAGTGTACGCGGCGCTCAGGCGAGACCCACTATTTGAAAGCGGCCCGGTATACATCCGTCAAACTGATGTTAAGTTTTAGTCTCAGAATTGATTAGGAAGTCTCAGGCGAAACGCCTTTCCGACTGGCTTCCAGGTGCGAAAGGGAGGAGTTATCCATAAGGAAATGGAATGGAGGAGGAGGAGGAGGAGGAGGAGGAGGAGGAGGAGGAGGAGGAGGAGGAGGAGGAGTAGGAGGAAGAGGACGAGGAGGAGGAGGGGGAGGAGCTAGAGGAGGAGGATGAGGAGGAGGAGGGGGAAGCGGAAGATCAGGAATATGTGGAAAACGAGGAGGATTAGGAGGAGGGCAGGGAGGAGGAGGAGGAGGAGGAGGAGCAGGAGGAGGAGGAATCTTGACCCAGCCAACTACGGACCGCGGTGCAAGGCACCACCAAGCATCACGGTACCAGCCACGGCGCCACCACAGGTAGGTGCCATCATAGCGGCACCAGTCGCAACACAAGGTGCACATTGGTCAGCCGACAGCAGGAGTTTAAGCCGTACTACAGCACGACAGCCACCATTCGAGGAGGCCCCATCCAAACCATTACCCAAGACACCAACGCAGTCCCAAAGCGAGCCAGAGGCAAACGATGGCGGTAGCACCCACCTGACGACACAGCCTCACAAACCGCCGACCCTCGAAGGCAAGGCGCTGACAAGACCCCACATAGACACACTATACGAGCAGGCAAATCCGCCGATTTGAGCAACCACATGCGGGAATGCTATAAGGATCGGCTCAGAGCGAGCGACAATGAGGACCTCATTGCTCGACTGACCGACACTACCAGCAGGCACCGTTTCAAGATCCGCGTCCACATAATGATCTCGGAGTGCATTGCCAGCATGAGCGATGCACAGCTACGATATGGATCCGAACACCGACCATGACATGAAGCTCGAGGTCGACATCATGATGTCATACGTCGAGGCATCGCTTAACTGCGCCCTCAGGCACGTGGGGCTACGGGAAGCGCGTCTTTCCAGGATGACCCACAGCTACCACGTCACCGCCCATTTGGTCAACCACCATCGCCTGCCAGCTCGCATACACCAACTTGGCAAATCAGGAGCCTCCCCCCTGATCGCCCACAGCCTTCGAAACACAGGCCTCAGGATGGGATCGGCCGATCGGTGGCCCATCGGTGCGTCATCCTCGTTTCGATTAGGATTAGTTTTGCTCCAACGACAGGCAGCACATCCTACTATAGCCAGCTGCCTTTTCGAGCTCCGCGCCTCTGCATGATATTTTCACCAAACTGTCCGCAATCACCGGGACTACAAGCAGCAGCACAGCTGGCCGCAGAAGCCGCACCTGTTCGACCTCCTGCCGGTTGCGAAGAGACGGCAGCACATGGCATCACACGCCCAGCAACACAGCACAGCACACGGCGAGAACCTCGACAACAGCTATGCTATGCAGTGGGTCCCCGAAGTGATTTCTCACCCGCACATGGTACATTGTCCGACGTGCAACGCGGTGGGTCCCTACGGGGCTTTCTCACCCACGAGGCAATGAAAGCGCAGATGAGGGCCTCTGCCAAACTTCACTCCCTACCGGCTCGCCTTCTTGTAGCCCCTCCCCCCCCGCCTTTCCTCCCGAATCTTCTATCACCTCCCCTCCAGAGGTGGCGGGATGGGTGGTTTGGTACGGGACGGGAGCAGACTGGAGGAGGAATCCACCGTTGGCCGTCCTGGCAAGGGCCGGGGCGGCCGCGGGCCGCAGGATGCTCGGGGGCATTATGAGAAGCTTTTATTTTCTCTCGCTTCACTCCTCCTCTTCTCCCTGCTTCCCCTACTCGGCCTCCTCCTATTATTCCTCCTCCTCCTTCTCGTATCTTCTCTTGTCTTTTCTTCTCTTCCTCCTCGTGAGAAGGAGGAGCGGGAGAAGGCAGAGGATGAGACTCGCAAATTCGGGTTCGGAAAGGGGCTCGCTGCCTGTCTTCCGTCGCCTTCCGCCGAGGAAGAGATGCCAACTTCTCTGTCCCTTGAAGGCGAGGCTTTTTGTGGAGCCCCCCGTTTGCTCATGAGGCCTCAACGAGAAGCCCCCCCCCTCCCTTCACCACCTTCCTCCCGCTCGCACCGCCCCCCCTCCCCCCCGCTGAGATTGCATCACGTCACTTCTCCCCCCTGTCTGCCCCCCGCGCGCAAGCTGAAGGCGGTGAGGAACGCCAAGGCCGAGTACGGCCGCCTGTCCAACGAATTAGAGGGGCTCCAGATGTCCGAGGAGTCCGTTCAGAAGGACCCCGGGCCTCGTATGACGGCAGCGTGGAGAGCGGAACGCCAAGTTGGGGTGTTGCAGAGACGGCGTCGGCGTCGAGGATCGAAGGGATTTGCATGTTTCTTCGGTACCAGGCGGCGGAAGGCCAGCGGACGTAACCACGAAGGCGGCTCCGCCGGGGAAGGGCTGGTGGAAGCGGGCGGAAGCGAAAGGTGTGCCAACAAAAAGATGGGAGCATGTTCGGATTCAGAGTTTCCCGAATCCGTGGCACTCAACATGTCATGTGTAGCATATACCCCAAACCCTTGGCAAGGCGCCTTTTTTCTTCGTCTTCGAGTGTTCCCCCTTCGGTGGTGTCTCTTCCTTGTCTGCCACGTGTACTTGACGCGGCGACTGCAGCAGGAGGAGGACGAGGATGAGACCGGGGAGGAGGAGGGGCAAGGAAAAGGAAGCGAGCGGGGAAGGAGGAGATCACGAGAAAGGAGGCTCTGACTGGCGGGTCGGGCGGGCAGACCATAACGGGCGGGTCGGGCGGCTGGGCATCAACACGCGCGGCGGGGGGTTGCCCGAGCACGCGGACGGGCGGGTGGACCCTGGCGGGCGGGCTCGAGCGGACCCCGCCGAGCGGGACATTGAAACGGGCGGACATCAAGCAGGCGACCGGGCGGACATTTTGACGGGCGGGTCGTGCGGGCGGGCTCTGAGACGGGAGGGCCAGGCGGGCGGGCCCTTTGACGGGCGAGTCGGGCGGGCGGGGCAGTGAAGCGGACGCTGCGCAGTGCGAAGAAGCCTCAGGTGAGAGCACGAGACGTGCGCAGAATTGCAGGGATGTCTCGTGCGAGAGCGCGAGTTTGGGGCGTCGAGGCGCGGCGCTTGAGTAAAGCGCGAGGAACTCCAAGGCAGAAGTGCGAGCCCCGAGTCAATCGGGAGGACGTCCCGCGAGAGAGCGCGACTTGGAAGAGATTGCGAGGACGTATCAAGCGGGAGCCGCTGCTTTTGCATTCCAGAGGCCAGGGGCGCAGCTTGAGCCTGAAGACTTTCTCTTACGTGGCACCCCGCAGTTGCGGATAAGAGTGAGGGGGCGGCAAGGACGTCGTGAGTCTGCGAGGCTCTGAAGAAGCTCGCCGCAGGCGCCTAACTTGTACAAATTATGCAGTGAGCCCGCCGCAGGCACCGATTTCTTTGTTAAAGCAATATGGGTGGGCCGCGGGCCAGGTCGCGGATGGGTCGCGGGTGGGTCGCGTAGGTGTCGCGGCTGGGTCGCGGGTGGGTCGCGGGGTGGGTCGCGGGTGGGTCGCGGGTGGTCGCGGGGTGGGGGGTGGGTCGCGGGGTGGGTCGCGGGGTGGGTCGCGGGGTGGGTCGCGGGTGGGCCGCGGGTGGGTCGCGAGGTGGGTCGCGGGGTGGGTCGCGGGTGGGTCACGGGCGGGTCACGGGGTGGGTCGCGGGGTGGGTCGCGGGTGGGTCGCGGGCGGGTCACGGGGTGGGTCGCGGAGTGGGTCGCGGGTGGGTCGCGGTGTGGGTCGCGGGGTGGGTCGCGGGTTGGGTAGCTGGTGGGTCGCGGGGTGGATCCCGGGGTGGGTCGCGGGTGGGTCACGGGCGGGTCGGGGGGACGACGACGACAACATCAACAAGCAGAATTCTCCCCGCGGATCTCCACTTCAGCCACGCACCCGGGAACAAAGACTGAGCGTTCGGCCCCCTCACTCTGACAAAGGAAAAACAGGTCCGCCCCCCGTGTGGGAACACCTCATTGAATACGTACAATGTGCCTTGGACGGCGAGGATGTACGGTTCAGGAGCGAGGCTCCCACGCTCCCGCTCGATACCCCTTTCGTTTTGCGCTCGGGACTGGTGCTCTTTGCTAGCACCGATGAGCCAGATCTCAAAAAAAAAAACAGCGCTCCCGCTCGACACCGTCTGGCTTTTCCTCAGGAGCGGTGCTCTCGCCTCGGAGTGGCGCCTTCGTCTCGGACCCCAGGCCGAGCCCCCCCAACAAGAAACGACAACTATGTTACCACCATGATTGATGCCTCCACGTGCAGCATGCATCACCAGCAGCTCGCAGGACACATCAGGATAGCCAGCGCAGATTTTGGGAGCGGTGAAGGGGAAGACCACAGTGAACCGAACTCGCGCAATTCGATGCGTTCTTTCGGGGTGATCAAGTGGGGAAGACTGCAACCATTCCGCCTTACAAGAAGAAACTGCGGACGTGGAGCACGTGCAGAAGTGGAAGATGTGGGGGTCCGTGGGAGCTGGGGCTAGCCTGGGGGGCGCTGGCACTGTCTCGGGCTGTCATGAGATCCTTGGGAATCCTTTGAAGGCCTTCAAGGACCCTTTTGGGAGCCTCTGGGGCCTTTCTGGGTTGTGGGTATGTCTCAAGATTGTTGGGGGGCTTCTTTGGACTTCTTGGCGCCCCCTTGGGCCGTCTTGGGGCCCTCTTGGGGCATACAAGGGCCTCTCGGGGAGCTCTTGGGAGGTTATGGGCTCCTCTTCGGGGCCCTTTGGGGGCCTATGGTGGGATCTTTTCTGGCCTCCCTGGGGCCGCGCACAAGCCCTCTAGAGTGAAGCCGAGCAGAGGGCACCATTCCGGAGCAAAACGCTTGGATGTATGAGGCTGGAGCCTTCATGTCGTAGGGGAGCCGATTTGCAGCGGCAAGGCGTGAGCTCCTCTCCTGGGTAGGAAGCAAAGGTGCCTCGAGCGGGAGGGGTTGTCTGGTTGGAGGGCGAATGTCGGCGGCGAGCAAGGGCGCCAGCGTACAAAGCGCAGAGTTGTCGAGCGGGAGCGCTGTTCTTGTAGGGGAGCTGCTTGGCGGCGCCGAGGGGACAGCGCCTCCCCGGACTCGTAAACAGGGAGGCATTTAGCGGGAGCGCTGGTTCTGTTGAAGGGGCCCGTCTTCGATGGCTCTCAAGAGCGCCAGTTTCGGGGGAGCGTAAGACCCGGGTTTGCCAGGACTCGGGTTCGCCATCGTTTTTTGACGACCGCGCCTCGGATTTTGACGAGGAGGAGTTTCGCGGGATGTCTGCAGCGGGAGGCCTCGTCAAAATGCAGGCTCGGCCTCGTCATTTTTTTGACGACCTCGTCGGGGATTTCCGAGTCCTCCGTACCCGGGTCTTACGTCTCCCCGACAGTTTTCAGCTCACAAGTCAGGAGGTCTCGAGCGGGAGCGTTGTCGCTGTCGGGGCGGGGGCGACTTCGGCGCAGCCCCGAAGCGCTCGAGCGCGAGCTTCGTTTTGAAGAGCACATGGCCGGCGCCGAGGCTTGAACGCCCGAAGCGGACGAGTTGTTCCAGCAATCGTAGTTGTTTGGCATTAAGATTCAACAGCGTTCTCGCTCGGTACGTCTTCGCTTTTTGCACGGATCGGCCCTATAGATTCGTTCGTAGATTGTTTGGGACCGGCGCCGCCGTCTCGGCGAGGCTTCTGGAAGGCCTCCAGGCGTGCCTTGAGGGGTCAGCCAGTGGCCGACACGAGACAAGGCCCGCCCAATGACTATGGCTTTTAGCCTTCCCACCTTTCCGCGACATGGTGATGGCGTGCTGGTGGCATTTGTGGTGATATGGGTCGCCTCCGTCGTCGTCGTCCCTGTGGGTGTCCCCGTGCACACGTTATTCTTTCCTCCGCTGGCAAACAAAAACAAACAGGTAAGAAAGCAACAAAACATATGTTTCCTCCGCCAGCGATGTATCACCGCAGTCTCGATCAACAATTCGGGCGGGCAACGTCGTAGCGAAGTGTCAACGCGCGTTGAGGTCACCCGCGCACACACGTACACTTACATGCATATCTTCCTCTGCCGCAGGATATCGCAGAGCTGGTCGAAAGGCAGGGCAAGCTCAAGGAGGCTGGCGTGAAGGTCAGCGGGTTGGTCGTTCATCGATCACCGTGCATTTTAAATCCATTCTCGGCTCCTTCCATCCTCCTCCCTGAAACTCTGCTTCCCAGCATGTCCTGCCCCACCTTCTCCGTATTCGCCCCCGCTCCTGCGGATTTCACTTCCACCTCCTGCCATCCGTCTCTTCTTCGTGATGTCCACGCTGGATCGCATTCCCCCTACCCGCTCCAACACCTGGCATCAGCGTCAGAAGTGCGCGTCCCCGTTGGCCTTCCGATTTTTCTCCCGCCCCTCCTCCGCCTCCTCCTCTCCCTCCCCTCCCCATCTTCTTGTATCGTCTTATCCTGTCACTTGCCACCTGTCTCCTTCGCCGTCTCCCTTCCCCCTCCCATCTCCTCCTTCACTCCACTCCCCAGCCCCCCCAGGCCTCCGATGTTCCGCTTTTGTCCGACGCGCGGGCCCCGGATCTTTGGCCCATTCTTGCGGGACTGGCTCTCCATCCCGCGCCATGTTTGTTGATGGCCCCCCCAGGGCTCGCATTTGAGTTTGCAGCCCCCCCTGGACGGCGAACGTGGGCCAACGAAGAGCCGTCTATTTCTTGCTCGCGTCGCCCAAGGGCCCCTCCTCTCGCATGCGATTCCTCTCTCCGAGTTCCGGAGGCCCCTCGTCAAAATTGGCCGCTCAGAAGAGAAGGGGAGTTCTGGGACTTACCCCTTGGGGGGCTAGTACGACGCACCACTGTCGAGGATGGCGCCCCCCCGTCCATCGCAGGTCCTGGAGTTGGGTCCAAAGTCTTCGGCCCGACCGAAGACCGAACGATCAAACATCTGGTGCTGCGGTCGCCGCGCCAGCCCTTGTTGCTCTCTTCCGGGTTGCCCGGCGGCCCCTGCCCCTCGCCCCCAGACTCCAGGCGAGCGAAGTGGTCACGGAAAGAAGGGGCGCGATGCCCCGCAGCGGCTGCTGCGCTCCTTTGGAACAATTGGCCCGCTGCCCGCGCCGCCGCGGACGCTGTGCACCGAAGGCAGGGAGCCGCCTGGCGGTTGTGGGCACCACCCGCTGCCGTGGGCACCCGCGCCCCCCTCTCCCCGCTCCCAGCCCGGGCGTCCGAGGATGATGGGCTTGTCTTCCACCACCACCACCACCATAAGTTGGAGGAGGAGGGGGTCCTCCTCCTCCTCCTCCTCCTCCTCCTCCTCCTCCTGCTCCTCCTCCTCCTCCTCCTTCTTTCCTCCAACTTATGGTGGTGGTGGTGGAAAACAGGCCTATCAGAGGAGACTCCACGTCGTGACCTCGGCGCGGCGTCGCCCGGAGGCGTGGGCCCCTCCCCCCTGGGCGGGCCTCTCTTTCGGGCGGGCCCCGCAGGGCCGGGCCGTGCCCCCCTCCCCCCTTTCCCAGCCCGGGCGTCCGAGGAGACCCCCCGACGTCGTGACCTCTCGGCGCGGCGTCGCCCGGAGGCGCGTGGGCCCCTCCCCCCTGCAGGGCGGGCCTCTCCTTCGGGCGGGCCCCCGCGGGGCCGGGCGAGGGCCCCCCCCCCCGGGGGGTTATAGGTCGGGCGTGCCCCCCATACGGTAGGTCTGCGTCGTGTCGACCAGCGGCGACCCCCAGCGTGGGCGTTCAAGGTTGAACGCCGCTGGCGACCCAGAATCAATCGACGTTGAGCGATCGGACGTTGCGGCAGCGGCCGATCGTTCAAGGCTGAAGGATCCCTGCGGTGTCAAAAACCAACGCTGGGGTCGGCACGACACGAACCTGCCGTACAGGCGGAGCTGGGGCGAAAGATGTAAGAAAGAGTCCAACAAAAATCAGACAGATCTTCAAGCATGGTCCAAACATCGTCCCCATGGACTGTTCGTGTTTGACTATGTTGGGGATCTTCCTCCCGTGTAGGGGGACGTGCCCGACTTGATCCCAGGGGCCGGGAGCGGTGGCAGAGCGCCGTACTGCTCTCCTGCCTCTGCCGGAGGTCCGGCAGGGAGGGCGGGGAGGGCTATAGGGCGCGGGGAGGGCGGGCGGCGCGCACGAGGGGGGGCTGGCCCCCCGGGGGGGCCCTGCTCTACAAGCCGCGTCAGAAATAAACAGAAGTCTTCTGAGTTCGGTGAGTGTGGGGTCAGCGCTACTCCAATGCTGACGGATTCCTGTTGTCCCAAAACCGACCCCACCCTCTCAGCATTGAAGAACGTGCTTTCTGACAAATGCCCGAAAGCATCGTGCTCCAGGATTTCAACTTCGATTTCTGGAAATTTTTGACGAGGCTTGTAGGAGCCCCTCTTGTCTTCTGAGGGGGCCCCTCGCAGAGAAGATCGCCCAAAAACCCTTCCGTCGTGCTTTTGTTCGCGGCTCGGCCTGCGCTCAGGGGGCCCAGGAAGCGGCAGGGCCGTTTTTCCATCGTGTTCGGAAAGGTATCTCTTGAGAAAGGAAGCGGCCAAAAAACGGCGAGCGGAAGCGGCAAAAAAAGGTTCCGGAAGGAGCCGGAGCCCGAACCGGGGAAAGCACGGCGACGGAACCGGCAGCAAAAGCGGCGACGGAACGGGCAGGAAAGCGGCAAAGTGGAGCCAGTAACAAAAACTGCCTTGTCCTTTCCAGGGCCCACCAAGGTCTGGGCCTGTCCTGCGGGGGGCGGCCCCGGCCGGCCGCGGCTCGCGTGGCCGCCCGCTGCAGGCGGGCAGGGAGCTGGCCGAGCTCAGGCCGCTGCAGGCGGAGCGCGAGCGGCTCGAGGCGCAGCTGCAGGACGCCCGAGTGCAGCGACGTCATCCCTCTTCGTTAGTCGTCTCAATGTCCATCCTTCTCTTCTCTCCTCCGTGTCTCGTGCTGCCTTTCCCTTCTCATGGCCGCTGCCTTTCAGGGCCCTTGAGAGCCGCTCGCCGCCCGCCCCGCGGAAAGGGCCAGCGCCCGGCCCTCCTGGAGAGCCCTGCCGGGCATTCCGTCCCCCGGGAGTTCTCGAGGCTGGATGGCGTTCGGTTGAGACATCCTCAGCCCGGGCCCCCCGCCTTGGCTCAGTGGCAGCGCCAGAGGGGAAATCTAGGCCTCCCAGATGGGGTCGGAGTAGAGATGGGGTCGGAGGATCGCGCCGCATCGCCCGTGCATCGGCGGTGCATTGGCGATGCGGCTCGATCTGGAGCCCGATGCTTTCCACGCTGGCGTCGCCGATGCATCGCAGGCGTCGCCGATGTATCGCCGAGGCATCGGCGATACATCGGCGATGCACTGGCGATGCGGCGCGATCGTCCGACCCCATCTACTAGGACCCCATCTAGGATGTTTCTAGAGAGGCTCAGGGGCCCTGGATTTATCAGCCTCGCTGATGTGAACCACTTCACCACTGGTGAAGCAGCCATCTGCCAGGACGCGCCACGGGCTGCAGCTGCAGGTGCGAGGCTTCCGCACATGGTCGTCGGTTCTCGGCGGTTGTCCAGCGTCGGGGTGCGTTCCAGCTGCTGCGCCTCGCCGAGGGCGTCCCAGGAGTGCCCGTATCGTCCCGAGCGGCCGCTTGAGATCCGAGCTGTGACGGGAAAGCTGGACGACGAGGATCTGGGGGGACAGGCTCAGGGGGGGACGCACCGACCCCCTATCGCCTGCTGATCGTCGATAGAGGTCCGATAGTTCACGAGAGGAAGAGGACGAGGAGGATGAGGAGGAGGACGAAGAGGAGGATGAGGAGGAGGAGGAGGAGGAGGAGGAGGAGGAGGAGGAGGAGGACCACCTCCCCCTCCAGCTTATGGTGGTGGTGCTGGAAAACACGGAATCGCTATCCGGGGGCCGATCGTCGATCCGTCGGCGAGGTGTTGCAGATTCCAGGTCGACGGTTCCTCCCGTGAGCCCGCTCTCCCAGATGCCCCTCGTCATCTTAGAGGACCACAAGAAGGAGGTGGTGAGAGGGGGTGGGCCCTCTAAGAAAGCGGGGGTCTTCTCAGAAGACGAGGGGCTCTTAGAAGGGCCCAGAGGCTCCTGTGGAGGCTTCCTTAGAAGTTTCGAGGGCTTCTGAGAATGCCATCGCCCTCGCGCCACCCCCCTCGTGCGCGCCGCCAACCTTTCCCGTCCCCCCATCCCAGACCCCCAACAGATGGAAGAGATCAGCGCAGCAGGGTCTCACCGTTTCCGGCCTCTGGGGGGTCCCTCGCCGCGCCTGAGGGTTCGTCAGAAAACGGATCGTGGTGAAGAGCCAGCCTTGGGGCAACAGACGGGACTTCTTGGGGCCCCATGCTGAAGAAAACCAGGCTCGGATCTCCCAGGATTTCTGGGTCTTTTGCCCCTGCGGGGAGAAGATGTACCGCTGCGTCCGTGTGTATCGCATCCTGGTCTACCTTCTCCGCTGCGGCTGGGACCGCCCCCGTCCGGTCCTCGATCGGGCCACTCTCGGTGACAGGAGGCGGAGCCGAACGGCACGGCGAGGCGAATCACTGCGCGAAAGTGGCCCCCGCGGCCGTTCGCGTTCGCGAGGCAGCCGACCTGGGCCATGCAGTGGCTCGAACGTTTCCGAGGCCCTGTGCAATTGGGGGGGTGTAGGGGAAGGAGGAGGAGGAGGAGGAGGAGGAGGAGGAGGAGGAGGAGGAGGGAGGAACAGCTACAGAGCCATGAAAGGGAACCAGAAAAGCCCAGTGGCATGCTTCCCCGAGAGGCCCTCTCTTCCCCGTTCTTCTTCTTCTTCTTCTTCTCCTCCTCCTCCTCCTCCTCCTCCTCGACATCTCCCTTTTCCTCCTCCTCCTCCTCCCCAAGAGCACAAATTTGAGCCTCTTCATTTTTCAGGCTAGGCTGCTGAGCACTGTCCTCGTCCAATACAGTATGCAGTTGGCCTTCCTACACCTGCGATCAGGAGCTAGGCGAGAAGGGGATGTTCAGGATGAGCTGAAGAAGGTCCTAGTAGCAGGACCCGTGATCATCATCCTCAGCAGCAGCATCATCATCAGCAGCACCATCATCAGCATCATAATCATCATTCACATCATCATCAGCATCCTCACCATCACCATCATCGTCATCGTCATCATCAGCATCATCAGCATCAACATCGTCATTATCACCAGCAGCATCATCAGCACCAGTATCAGCATCATCAGCAGCATCAGCATTACCACCATCATCATCATCATCATCATCATCATCATCATCATCATCATCATCACCAGCATCGTCAGAATAAGCAGCATCATCAGCAGCATCATCAGCGGCATCATCATTACCTACGATGGTCTGTTACCCGATTAATTGTCGTTTTATGCCAGGTCGTGCCCTTCGACTGTTCGGAGGCCCGCCGCTTGAGACCTGGTCAGCAGTTCGCTGCTGGCAGGAGCTACGACATGCAGATAGATATCGCCCGCCTCCTCCTCTTCGTATTCGCAAACGTCGTTAGGTGGGGGCGGCCGCATGCCTCGCTTCGCCAGCACCAGCAAGCAGCAGTTGGATCCCAGCTTTCGCTCGGCTCGCATCGTCGCATGCTTACTTGCCTCGAGGTGGGCGCCTGCGCGCTGAAGGAGCATCCAGAGAAGGCTTATTGGGAAGAACCAGCTTCCAGCTCTGGCTGTCGGCTACGGCATCGGCGCTCTGTGCTGTTCCCCCTTCTCGTGCTACCTTTTTCGACCAGCACGCCCCTGGCAAACCAGAAAGGCCCCGACCACCTTTCTCTGTGTCAGGCTTTGTCTCGAGGAGAAGGTTCTTGAACAAGGACGAGGCGGACGTTGTGATCGCCTTCAGGATGCCCACGTTACCTTGCTCGGCAGTGACCCACATGCAGAAAAGTGGCGATTGGCCCCCCAGAAAAGATACCCTCAGGAGCTGGGCAGTACGATTGCCAGGGCTTCATAGAGTTTCGTGTCCGACGCTTTGAGGTTATGTGACCCGGGTGAGCGTGACGAATCGGAGGTACTTGACGAGTTGAGCCGCTTTTGGCAGGGGCCTTCGACACCCCTATGGCGCTGCCACTTCGGAGGATATTGCATTAGATCTTGCCCGCGGACGCCAGTTTCAACTGTCCGTCCCCGCCTGTGGCCCCGTCGGGGCCTCCTGATGCTGCTGTGGCTTCTAGTGGGCCCAATGGCTGGGTCAACCATGGTTCGGAAGGAGGGATCCTGCTGGCCTTGGAGGCCACTGAGGGTCCCTATGACTCGATGCCCATCCTTCTCCTCCTCTTCCTACTCCTCCTCCTCCTCCCCCTCCTCCTTGTCCTCATCTTCCTCCTTTTCCTCTTACCCCCCCGCCCGAGTGGAGCTCATGCCTGAGCTTTTTCAGACGATCCGGATCCGCCCATCAGGAATTTTCGTTTCCTGTTGCCAGGTTGGCGAGGGCGAGGCTGGAGTTCTTCGGGGGTGATCGGGCGTGCACCTGGTTTTTGTTTTTCGTTGTGCTTCACAATGATCTTGCATAGTGCCTGACTATTGTGTTGCTGACTTGCGTATAGGCTGACAATGAGCCTCGTGAGGCCTAAAGGTCTGCAGGTCTTTTCTCCACCTGGCACTCCCCATCCCACGTGCCCCGCCTGCTCCTCCGCATCCTCCTGGTCCTCCTCTTTCGTCTCGGTTATTTTGGGGGGGCGCTGAGCCCGCGCGCGAGCGCCTTCACTGGCGCTCCGAACACTGACTCCGCTTTTGCGGGGCACGCTCTCGAGGCGGATGCAGCGCGGCAGCAAGACTTGGGGCGCGCTGTGACATGGAAGCCACGCATGCGCGAAAGCAGCCGCGCCCCTCCCGACGGACCCGAGAGCCCCCCCCGTGCACGAAAGCCAATGCAGTGCGCTCGTGGCCGGGACCCTTGCGACGGAACATAAGGTGCTGGTGTTTGACACCACCTCGCACGTGACAAGCGCTCCTCTTCTCCATCGTCCTGCTCCTCCTCCAGTCCTTCCTCCGCCTTCTCCTCCTCTCCTTCCTCTTCCCTCCCTCCTCCTCCTCTTCCTCCTCGGCCTTGACATCCCCCTCCTCCCCCGCCCTCCTGTCCCTCCCCCTCCTGCTCCTCCTCTCCATCCTCCTGCCTCCTCCGCCTTGCCCACCTCCCCACCGCAGGAGCTCAGGGACAAGGGGCAGGCCACCGCGCTGCTGCTGGCCGAGTCCGAGCGTGAGGAGGCGCCTTCACCCGCCCATTAGAGTGCCGCCCGCTCGAGTGCTTTAAAAACCGGCCGCCTGCTTTTGTGCGCCGTCCGCCCGACCAATCCTTTGGGGTCCCGCCTGCCAGGTACGGTCGTCGTCGACGTCGTCGTTAATTATTGGCGTCGCTTTCTTGTCGTCAGCATAATTAGTCGCCGTCAGCGTCGTTGTCGTCGTGTTCATCGTCGTCGTGCTCATCTTTGTGTGCGTCGTCGTCATCGTCGTCGTCGTTGTTCTTCTTGATGCCGTAGTGTTCGACGCCGTTGTCAGCGTCGTCAGCGTCATTGCCATTGTGTTCTTCGTCCTATGGCTCATGGTCGTCGTATTCGTCGGCTTCGTGGTGGACGTCGCCAGCGTCATTGCTTGCCGGCGCGCAGAGGGGTTTGAGGCCCGGGGGGGTGTTAGGGCTTCTCGCTGAAGGGGGAGAGTGGTCCCAGTTCCGCAGGAGTGGGAGGGGTCGAAGAGGGGCTGGTCGGGGCTGCGGCGAGGGTGGGCTTGGATGGTGCGACGCGCAGTGCGTGAAAACCGCTCCCCAAAGATTTTGGCGCCTAGGAAGCGTTTCGACGGCGATTGGGCCATCCAGGAACAACCCGCAATGGCAAACCAGCGCACCCCCTTGAATTGCTGCATATCCCCACCAACCTGTCAAGGATCGATAGAATGAGGCGATACGCCGAGGGAAGCGAAGTGCAGGCGCACTGGCGAAATGAAGGGGGCGATGCTGGTCACACCAAAGCAGGAATCAGTCAAGTGAGGTCTTCGAGACATCGTAGTGACGGGATGTGTTCTTGCCTTCCCGTGTCTTGAACCAGCTTTGTTTAGCATTTTTGCCCAGGCTGGACTTGATGTAGCTTTGGACCGCCAGGCAACCGTCCACCTTGTTCCTCCCATTCTGATTTGCTGGGATCGCTGCGGCGTTTGTTATCAAAATGCCCCCCGCCGTACCAAGTCGTGCATGCGAAGCGGCCGACTAGAGCATGATGTGTATTCCCCAGCGTCGAGTTGCGCCTTGTGGCGAGGAACAACTTTGCAGGGATGGTTGTGTGGAGTGTCGTGCAAGGAGGAGGAGGGGTACGAGTCATCATTGGAGAAGGAGTCGGAAAAGGATGCTGAAAAGGAAAAAGAGGATGAAGAGCGTTTAGACGAGGAAGGATTGTACATGTGTGGGTCTAGGCTTGTTTGAACTAGGATCTGTTCATCGCGCGTGCACTTATTAGATGTCTTGAATCGCTGCGCTTGCCACCGCTCGTGCGCCAAGGCAGAGCTCGAAGAGAGCCTGGAGGCTTCCACAGCGGAGATGGCAGGTGGGTGTGCCGGTGCAGGCATAGCAAGAGACAGTATCGCGTGTTCTGGCTTGCGGGCGCGGCGCGCATCCATTGGAGGCGGGGATTGTTGCACGGTTTTAGCCGTAGCATGGCTGGTGCCGACGTCGAAGTACATGACCGGTTTCAGATGCACATTGGATTTACGCAGCAGTTCTCGGATGGCACGGCGAGCAGGGGGTTCCTCGCAGCAGCCGTCTGTGGTCTGAGATGCTTCAGATTGCGCGAGTACCTCGCACTTGACATTGCACTTGAACGATGTTCTGCGTAGGAGTACCACAACATTTCAAGCTGATCGAGCGTTCGTGCACACTGTCAGCAAGCCGTGGACGGTGCGCGGCGTGTTACACTACCGTGAAGTGTGACCGTGCAGTATGTGAGCGTAGCGTGCAATGTGATAGTGTAGTTTGCAATTAGTTTGCAGTATGCCAGCGTAGCGAAGCGTATGAGATGTGAGCGCAACGTGTTGTATGTGGGCGTTGCCTGCAGTATGAGAGCGTAGCGTGCAGGATGTGAGCGTATTGTGCAGTGTGTGAGCGTGGCTTTCAGTATTTGAGCCAAGCGTGCATCACGCCAGCGATGCGTGCGCAGCAGGGGGAGGGGCTGGAGGCAGTGCAGCAGGCGGGGCAGGGTGACTCATCGAATTGTGGCCGCTACGCGATCGTGACGTCAAGTTTGTGGAGGAGCGTTGGGCACGGGATTGGAGACCCTACGCCAGGAGATCTGTTACGCTGGGACGCTGCACCAGCGAAGCGTGCAGACTGTCATCGTGGCAGGGCGCGGTGTTGCAGTATGAGCGCGTCGCGTGCAGCACCCGAGCCCACCAAAAAAGATGGATCGGGGTCGTGACTCCGCCGAGGCCCAGCGAGGTGCTTGTCGTGCGGCCGGGCCGGCTTGCCTCGCTCGCCCTGCGTGGCTTCCCCTGGGTACGATGGTTGTGGGTGCGAGCGTCGTGCCAAGAAGTGGGCAGGTTTGACTGCAAAGGTCGCCGACGCCAGGGAGAAGGAGCAGGCCGCTCTTTGCTCGGAGCGCAAGGTTCTGCAACACTGTTGCATGCGTGCACTGCGTGTTTGTCACACCTGGCTTGTCATGGGTTCTGGGTGTGGAG